TTATTAGGAGAAATACATCAAAGTTGTCCTATATCAGGAATAGATAACCTTGATTTGACTAAAGAGTAAGAAGAAAGATATTTGTGTCTTTTTATTAGAGAATGTCAATCAAGATGTCAACCATGGTGGTAGTGTAGCATGATTGTTTCTCAAAACCCACGCAAATGACCAAAATTCCCAGAATCTGTCCGTCCCAGGTAGTACCAGAATCCAGTACTTGAACAGTTGCTTTAATTCCTTTCACCACAATCTAGTACTTGAACAGCTGCTTTAATTCCTTTCTTTCTCATCTGTGGAGAGAGAGAGTGTAGAGACAGAGAGAGAATTTTCAAGAAATGCAGACGATTCCATTAGGAGGGACATTGATATCAACAACAGTGAATAGCAGCATCCTCTCTCTCAATTTCAAGAATCCGAAAACGTTTTCCAAGATTTACCCTCACCCCAGATCAGGTATCTACCGCCCACCATTATGTGGTATTTATGTTTTATACATGTCTATGGCTTTAAGCATGTGTACAAACAGATTGGGATTTCTTTTGGAATGTGAATTAACTCTCGGTCTTCTTTTAATGATTAATATGCATTTATCAATTTGTTCTACTCTTGTGTGCAATTTTCGTTACCAAAAAAACAATCACATCTCTGGAGTGTTTGAAGGGATTCAGTTGTTTATTATATTAATTGATTGTAGTTGCTTGTCCAAGGAATTAACGTCTAGCACTGGAACTGGTTCTGTGATGTCTTTGAGGCCAATTAAAAGTTTGTAACAACTTGTTCTTTTGGTTGTTGAAGGGCAATATTTTACCAGCATATGGCCAAAGAAATGGGAAAGAGAAAATAAGTACGATCCAACTCATTCACTATGCACGAAAATGGGAGACATTGCAAGTAAATAAGGCTAGAAGAAGTGGCAGAAAGTATTGGTATTTGTGTCCGGCTATAAAGGCAGTGTCCTGGATCAAATATTTTATCTGATCATTTTTTTAATTTCTCTTTCTGGTTAATGAATCCAGTAACCAAAATAAGATCAGCATAAATTGAAGAAAAGACACGTCTTTGTGTCACCATTTGAGCTCGAAGACCCTTCGAAAATTTGGAATCAAGTACAAGTTCCTTAAGTTTAAATTTTAACATGACCTTTATGGTGATGCCATTTGCTCGTTTAACTATGTGTTGAACTCATCCAAGTGTCACCTGTATAATGTACTTGACAGAATAATGCTTAGACTTGTGGATTTGGAAATTCCAGATCAGTTTTAAAGTTACAATGTGGTTTATCATAGTAACAAGGATTCGCCAAATTAAGAACTCAGAAGCACCCACTTCGTTTCTAGTTCTGTAGTGAAAATATGACTGAAATAATTTTGACTTCAGTCCAGAATTAGTCATTTTGTTTGGGGAAATTCAACGTATTACACCTAGTCTTTTATTAGCGAATATGATCTTTACATTCCAGTTTTGTCGACCTCGATGTTTTTTGTTTCCTTTGTCCATTTTCTGTGTAATTTTCTTTGGGGAGAGCTATAGTGTTCAAGTAGTTTTTCTAACTGGATTCTAAATTTTGGACATCACATGGTAAAAGTAAGCCACAAAAGATGGTATGAGTCTGTCTTTCAAGATTTACAATTAATCCTTGCTGCATCACTGTGTTTATGAATGAAATCATTAGGGTGTTCTTGAAGTTTCTTAAATAGATAGTATGTTAATTGAATTTCTATCACAATTTTGTATCTTTGGGAATATAAATGTTGATTTTAGCTGGAATAGTATAGAACAATAAACAAGTAATTAAGAAATCCTCTTTTCCTTTAGGGCTTTGTAGGGCCAGTCAAATGGCTGAACTGTTCCCAACCGGGTCTCCAGAGATTTTTGTTCGGGAAGCCAGGTTAGAGGACTGCTGGGAAGTGGCCGAGACTCACTGCAGTTCCTTCTTCCCCGAATATTCTTTTCCTCTAGATTTTATGCTGAGAATTGATAGGCTCATTGGAATGCTATTTGGATTTTCAATACCAAATGGCTGCAAGAGAACTTGCCTGGTTGCCGTAATTGAAAGTTCGGATGAAGATGCATTCAATTTAGGAAGTGAGAATACGAAAATCGGGGTGTTTGATGAAAAATTTAGTCTAAATAAAGGGTACGTAGCTGGGATATTGACTGTGGATACTGTTGCTGATTTTCTTCCAAGAAAAGGACGACTGCGACAGAGAAGGTAAGTTAGATATCGCTGCATTGGTGATCCTGCATATGTTTGTTTGCAAGATTTATCCAACTTATATAAGGTTTTAGTTTTATTACAGTATTGGTTAAATTATCCATAACCCAGTCCAATACGGTTTGCCAAACGCACCCTTAACATTTTACTGACTTTTGATTATATAAACAACATAAAGCTTATGTTTTATGCTATGATATATAGCATTTGTTCTTAAGTCTTGATCCTTCTAACTCCAAACAGCATCCAGATGTTATATCCTAACCTAAATACATCAAAATGTTCAAATGGGCATTATATTTGCTAATAACTTTACCTCACTCAATTTCATTTCTAGTGCGTGATTGTGACCAATCTTCTTGCTGTTGCTTAAATGTGTAAACAAGTATCCGTAAGTATCAGGAGTACAGACTAATGTTTAGGAGATTTCACGTGCGATGAATCTATGGTACTTCATTTTTACAAGATTATTGTTGGGACCTCAACTTTTGTTTTCTTGTTTGGAGCATTGTAGATTATGGGCTTGTTTAGTACGGATTTTGTTTTTTGTAATAGAGCTTCACGAACAAACTACCTTGGGCAGCTTCTTCTAAAAGCTTTCTAACTAGGCAAAGCACTTTGAAAGAAAATTATTTTAACATGTCCAAAAGCTTCTTAATCTCAGAAATGGCATTTGACTTTTCAAATGCCGTGCCAAATGGGCCTATATACGTATCAGAAGCACATAATGGAAGTACTTTTTGATGCAGGGGAGACCTACTTATTAATATTAAGAGACATAGCTTATCGACTTGGAATACAACTGTATTACTGCTATTGAAATGATAAATGATGAAGATCATGTTTCTTAGTGCTTAGGTTTTATAATATTACTGTATGACTACAGCGGTTTTGATTTTTAGCCCCTGTTTGGCCCTCATTAATTTTTGTTACATTGCATTAAATTTTTCTCTCTCTTCATTACAACCACACATTCATTAAATAAAATAATAATAAACACAAATCTAAAACTTTTTATTACTTTTCCACCACACATTCTCCCATCAATCACTATTCCAAAAATTTTCAACTATCAAAAATGTCAAATAATGGGGGCCAAACAGGGGCTAAATTTTTTTCATTCTAATTCTTCTACTCATTTTCAACCACACATTTTTCAATAAAATAATATTTTCTATCATATCAATAACTTTT